AGAGTCCAGCAAGCACACTCTCCAGGACCCCGGGACAGAGCTAGAGTCCCCAGGGGCAGGTGCCAGGGGCAGGAAGGACTCTACAGGGTCTGCCCAGCCTCCCGAGCCCCAGCAGGGGGGGGGGGGGGAGGCAGCAGAGCCTCCCGCCATGGCCAAGGGGGACATGTACAAGTAGCTTCCTCTTGCACCCTGAAGCAAGCCCAAGAAGCACGGTCATCCACTCCCCGGGGGCAGCCTGGTCTGGTGTCCACGGTCTCTGCAGGAGCCCCTCTCATCCCCGCCACACACGGGCTACGGCCCAGACGCTCTCACGGAATCCCCGAGTGCTCCACGGACGCCTGTTCCTCTCATGCCGGTCTGTGTGAGTCCTGAGGAGACCAGAAGACATGACCCTCGGGAGGGAGACGCACGAAGGACACGTCTCACAGTCAGCGGCAAAGCAACACACAGCTCAGCTCCAGAGCCGGGGCTGCTGGCCCGTCCTCTCTCACCCCAGCTCCGTGCGGAGTCCAAGGAGCACAGTGAGCATGGGAAGAAAGTTCTAGAAGCCCAGAATCCATTTCTAACCTGGACTCTACACTAGGAACTCTGGGAGCTTCGTTTCCTTTCCAAGTTTCATGTGCCTCATTCTCCTGACCCTGAAAGAGCCTCGAATGTGGCACTTTTTAAAATTTCAGGGCTAAGACGAAGGAGATGTTACTGGGGCCTGCTCGAGGCAATCAATGAACAAAAGGATGACAGTGATACAGTGATGTGCCTCCTGGAGGGTGGGACAGGATGGCTGATGCCAATCCAGAGGCCTAGAAAGTTCCTTCCTCTGCCCTTAATCAGGGCAAAAGGCAACTGGCCTCAGTGCAGACCGGCTGCAAGGAATTCCCCAGGATTAGTGGTTAAGATGTTCCCTGGTGGCTCTGGGTAGCACGGTATGGCGAGTCCATGCTGGGGGCAGCCCTGGGAGCCCCTCTCAGGGCGAGCATCCTGCGCACCTTACTGTGCCCTAGCCTTCAGCGTCACCGCCCCGCCTGGGACGTGGGTCAGAACCACGCAGGTCCCAGAGGTAAAGAGGCAGAATCAGAGCAAAGAAAAGCTTTCATGGCTGGGGAGGGCTCCCCTGGGGTACTGGGGGCTACACCTGGTAGTGCCCACGAGACCATGCAGGGCCACACTGGGGCCCTGGACACACCCTTTGAGCTCTCCCCAGGCCCTAAACTGTTTCATTTTTTCTTTCCTTTTTGGGTCACACCTGACGATGCTCAGGGGTTCCTCCTGGCTCTGCACTCAGGAATCACTCCTGGTGGTGCTCGAGGGACCATATGGGATGCTGGGGATCAAACCCCGGTTGGCCGCATGCAAGGCAAACGCCCTACCCGCTGTGCTATCGCTCCAGCCCATGAACTGTTTCATTTTATCCATGGAAACGGCTTGGGTCCCCTGAGGGGTGGTCAGTGTCGCCGGAGGACCCCACATGCCCCATGGAAGGGGCGCAGAGGGAGGAGGGGTCGGCAGAGTGGAGACTTACTGCCCCCCAAATGCCCCGCGTGGGCTTCACTGGAATGGCCCAGAGCCCTGGGAAGGCCGGGTGGAAGGTCCCAAAGCGTCCCAGCCTCGGCGGCTGTGACGGCATCGCTGTCCCAGGGACCGGCCCGGCGACGCAGGTACCGAAGCCAGCTCCTCACGGGGAAGTAATTACGCTTTTCAGAGTGGGTAAAGCCACCTGTGGGGTGCACGGTGGCTCCTGGGATCCGTTCTGTCTCTACCAGGAATCTATTACACGATCTCGCTGTCCCCGAAGGCCTCATTAATCAGATGGTGAAATTGTCACCACAATTGAAAATACAAGGTGTTTGCTGAGCGCTGCCCTCAGTGCTTGGCACAGGACAGGCGTCTGAGGCACCGAGAAGAGCCTCCTGGCATCGCTGGCTGGGCCCGAGCCCCTTTCAGCCCGGCCCACGAGGCCCCGTCATCTCTGCCTTATTGCTGCACGAGAATGACGTGGTGCCAGAACCACAGGACCAACTCAGGCGAGAACATCCCACACCACGCTCGTGCCACTGGGCACATTCAGTGGGCAAAGAGGGTGAGGGTGAGAAGGCTCCCTCAGAAAGCCCTGGGGCAGCCGGGGTCTCAGAGGTGGAGGGAAATCTGGATCTGGGCCCAGACTACTGGGTCCCGGCCCGGTTCTGAGCTGCTAGGTCCCCTGGCCCAGTTCCGAGGCTCCTGGGTCCCCCAGCCTGGTTCCGAGGCTCCTGGATCCCCCGGCCCAGTTCTGAGGCTGCTGGGTTCCCAGGCCGGTTCCGAGGCTGCTGGGAGCCCCGGCCCAGTTCCAAGGCTCCTGGGTCCCCCAGCCTGGTTCCAAGGCTCCTGGGTCCCCCAGCCTGGTTCCAAGGCTCCTGGATCCCCCGGCCCAGTTCCGAGGCTGCTGGGTTCCCAGGCCGGTTCCGAGGCTGCTGGGAGCCCTGGCCCAGTTCTGGCACCCCCTGCACTCTCCTGTCCTCACACTCCCTCACCTGTGGCATTCCCCTGTAGGAGATGTCATGGTGATCACACATAAACTTGAATATTTAAAACTGAAAACCAGGCCCCTGGATACCTCGGTGACTAACAGCTCCCGTTGGCCGAGCGCGAGGGCTTGGGTTGGGGCTGTGCAGTGAGGGGGATCAGCCTTGTGGCACCCCAGCTCCGGGGCTAGGCAGGCACCCCAATAAAGCATGCATGCCCACCATCAACAGCAGCGCCAGAGAAGGGACGGGAAGGAGACCGTTAGAAAACAAAAATAGATCAGAAACGATCAAGGCCAGACGCCGAGCAGACGCCTGTCAGGAGCGGCCAGGCTGGGTCTCTCCTTTGCCTCCCCCCCACCCCGGAGCTCAGCCCAGGGGCACTGGCCTCACCAGCCGTGTTGCCTCCCGGTCGAGGCTGGTCACCCCTGGCAGTGCCCAGCGGTGATGCCCAAAGCACCATCGGGAGTGATGCCTGGGGGCCGGGACCCCAGCTGGGACTAGGCAACTAGGCAGCTGGCATCTTCAGTCCTGCTGACCCAGTGGGAGCCCACGGACTCCTGACCACTGTTTGGACGCACACATCCCGGCCCCAGTGACCACAGTGAGAAAAAAGGAAATGCAGAGGCTGGTGGGGTCTGACGCAGACCGGAGCCCCGGCCACTGCTGGGGGCCTCAGACAGCGAGGGCGGAGTTGAGTGGCAGAGGGGGAGCAGGTGGGAGGCAGGACAGTGGGAGGACAGCGACTACACCCCAGAGAGGGACGCTGGAGCTACGCCCACCCCCGCGGGCTTTCACTGGCTTGTCCTGAGCGGGGATCCTTAGTTGGGGAAGTCGAGTCCAGAGGGAGCCCCGGGACCTGGTTTGCAGGAAGCACTTCAGGGTCTCCCTGGCTGCAGCCCCGGGAGGGGGGCGGGGTGCCAGGCTCCAGGAAGAGATGGGCAGGATGCCCCGGTGTCTGCTTGCTGAAGGTAGGGATGGGGACAAAGGGCACAGGGGGCGGGAGGGAAGAGGCAGGGGCGGAGGGGAAGCCGGCAGAGCCTGCGGGTTGGGAAACCGGTCACAGGGCCTCTTCCCTGACTCACAGCAGCTCCCTGGGGCCCACTTCCTCCTCCGCCCCTGGCTGAGGTTACTACAGGGCAAGTGTCTGGCTGGGACCCACCGGGCCCAGCTCCCAAGGGGGCCCCGGGGGATGGGCCGCCCGCCGAGGCCCCTCTCTACTGAGCAAGCAGCCCCTGTGCCGGGATTGGGTTTGTGGGCGCAGGTGGGGCGGGCAGGGGGAGACCCCTGGCCATTCTCTTGCAGACACGGGTGAGCAGGCGCGGGTTGGCCTGCAATGCTGGCCACTGAGGCCTGAGCGCTGCAGGCAGCCTTTGCTACTGGAACAAGCTGGGATGGGTCGCCCACGGGAACCTTTTTAGCAGAGGGCTGTGCCCCAAGGCCACAGACAAGGCGTCACCTCGGGGGCTCACACCCGCACATGCTACTGTTCCAGGCCATAAGATCTCCCCACGGTGAGCTCGAAAAGCCTCAAGTTGGCGGGGAAGGAGGCCCCAAGAGTTTGGCCCCTGCCACCGCTGGGCGAGGCCTGGTAGCCCCTGGGCACCGCCACTGGATGGATCCCTGGCCCCCAAGCCCCCTGGTGCCCCCAACACAAACCCGCACCTAAGCTGAACGCTCAGAGGGCCCCAGCAAGGCCCCACCTCGCACCCACCACCCGTCTCTGCCTTAACGGACACAGGAATGTCCTCTGGGCGGTGAGGGAGGGCGGCGGTGCCACCAGCCAGCAGCAGGGCTCCTGGGCCCGCATGACCCCTCCACAACACTCTGACTCACAGCACCCAGAAGCCCCGCTGGGGGACACAGAAGAAAGGGGGCCGGGGAAGGAGGGGAGAAGGGAGAACCGTGACTGGGAGACTCGAGGCCTTCAAAGGTCAGGGGCGCGAGGGCAGGAGACGCTCAGGTTCCCTTGACCCAGGGCAGTGAAGCGGGGGGAGGCTGACCCCTCTTCCTGGGGGTCCCCCTGCCCACCCCATAGACGATGGGAGCTCCAGGGCAGAGAGAGAGAGAGAGAGGTGAGCCCGGCACACTCGCTCCACACGTTGGCAGCCAGAGAGCAGGCAAAGGGGCGCAAGGCCGTGGAAAGAACTCAGGGCTGTGGGGGTGCCCGGCTGGCATTTGGCCTGCTCCACCCACCGAGACTTCAGCCCCTGTGAGGAGAGGATGGCCAGGAACACCATCATGGGGGGAGGGAGCATTGAGATACACCAACAGCCCACCGGGAGCACCGGGTGGAGGAGGGGGGGTTGGAGCAATAGGACAGCGGGGAGGGCGCTTGACTTGCGACACTGCTGACGCAGGTTCAAACCCGGGGTTCCCTGGGCCTGCCAATCACAGCAGGCCGCCCAGTCAAGGGGACGCCCGCTGGGCAGCTCAGCCCCAAGCTCCCCCCGACCCGAGGGCAGCTGGGCTGCCGGGTGGGGGCGAGCGCCAGCCTCTCACCTTTCTTCCGCCACCAGGGCCCCTCGGGCACCGAGTAGGACAGGTCCTTGAACTCGATGTTCACGGCCGCCCTCCGCGGCAGCGAGGAGAAGCGCTGGGCCTCGGTCAGCGTGTTGTCCACCTTCTTCAGGTGCCCGTTGAGCAGGTCCGTCTCGGTGGGATCCATGCTGCTGGACACCACCTCGTCCACCGACACGCACACAGACTTGGGCTCCGTCATTGCTGCCGAGTAGCTGCTGGCATTCTGGGGAGAGAGCAGGAGGCCACGGGTCAGGGGGAACCTGGCGGGCTGGGGGCTGGGGGTCGTTGGTGGCTCCGCTTCTACGCTGCAGGGAAGCCGCCTCTCATGCCCGCGACGGTCAGACACAAATGTGCCGGCCAGGCGGGCTAGGACTCCCGACACCCATCACACAACCACTCCTGGACCCCGGGAGCCCACAGAGTGAAGTGCTGGCCACGCAGAGCCCGTCTGTCCACAGCCCACAATGACAAAGCCCAAGAGATACACCCAGGGGGGGTCCGCGGAAAGGCATATGCCAAAGAACTTATTTTTCACTTATTTATTTTTGGGCACTTGGGCCACACCCAGCAGGGTTCCGGGCTGACTCCTGGCTCTGTGCTCAGGGATCACACCTGGAGGTGCTCAGGGGCCCTCTGGGGTACCGAGCAGGCCGGCCATGCGCAAGGCCAGGGTCTCACCTGCCACTCTGGCCCCCAAAGGTCCTATCTGAAAGCAGCTCTGAAGGGCCGAGAGACAGACCCAAGGTTGGCACAGCGGCCTGACGGAGCCTCCGTCCATCCCCAGCACTGCATGTCCCCTGGAAGGGCGGCTCTGGGGGACTCTAAACTTTAAATAATTAATTACAAAGCTCCTCAGACATCCACCAAGTTCTCCAGGGCCAGAACCCCTGCCCTGCCCCCACGCACACCCTCTGGTTCCTCTCCACGGCATGGCTGGGGGCTGGGGGTAGTGCTTCACTCTTACCATCATAGAACAGGGCAGGTAGAGGGGCTTGCTCCAAGACCCCCGAACGCAGGGCAGAAGCTACCCCAGAATCGGAGTCATCTTAAAGAACAAAGAAATGAAGGAAACCAGGCCAGGGGCCAGAGAGATAGCCCGGTGGGTAGGGACTTGCCTGGGACGCGGCTGCGCCGGGCTCCATCCCTGTACCCTTGAGGTCCCGGAGCTCCACTAGGAGTGACCCTGGCACTGGCTCTGCAGCTGACCCAAGGGCAAGGGCCGGGGTAGGGTGGGGTCACATTCCCGCACAAGAAGAGGGTGGGGTCACCCACACGCCGACCTCTGGGGGCTCTCCTGGCCTGGGCGTGAGAACGTGCCCTGGCCCTGGGCGGAAGGAAACTGCCCGCAGGATGAGCGTGTCCCGGCCACGTCCGGCCAGCGCTGCTCCGGTGAACAATGGGGTCCTGGCCCTGCCCTGCCCGACTTCCAGCCACACGCCCGGGGCAGCCTGTCCCCCTGCTACGAGTGTGCTCGCCCAGGAGGAGGGGAGGGCCATCCTGGGACAGGGGGCAGAGCACAGGGCAGCAGGCAGAACGCCGCCCCCGCCTGGTGCTCAGGGCTCCCCAATAGCCAGCCTGTCCCCTGGTCGGACCAGCTCTGGGTCCTGAGGCCCCATTCAGCAGGCAGGCTTGTCTCTGAGCCCGGGACCCCTGAGTGTGGGCCTCGGGGGACACCCAGCCCTCGCACCTCCAGTTCCAGCCCCATTCCCTCCCGACACCCCCACAGGGGCCTCTCCCGGGGAATCTCCCTGGTGTGCACGCCCCCAGCGAGCACCATAACAGGGGCATGACGGGCGCTGGCCATCACTGCACACAGAGCCTGTCTCCCTCCCCCTCCGTTGTTACTCAAGCGCCTGCAAACCAGGCACCAGGGGAACTGCGTGGTTCAGTGGTCGTCCCCCGAGACCTGGCCGATGCCCCCAGATGCTCATGTTCAGCAGATGCAGGCATGACCCCTCCCCGAGGTGGGGGGTGCCGCTGCAGAGTGGGGCCCAGAGGTGTCCTGGCCCAGGGTGCCAAGGAAGTGAAACCCAAGCGGAGATTAGCGGGTGAGTCGGGCGAGCTCAGTGGGCGGAGAACACGGGACACACACAGAGCCACGGACCGGGGTGAGGGGGACCGTGGGGCCACAGAGGGACACGGGTCCATGCACAGGGCATAGGGCTGGCCGGGCTGGCTAAGGGGTCAGACAGAGAGAGAGTGAAGGGGAGGGGGGGAGGGAGAAAGAGAGATATCTTCGGGGCGCTGAGGAACCTAAGCCAGGAAGAAAGGGGGGACGGTGAGGTGCAGTGGGAGAAGGACGGTGGCCTTAGCCAGTGGGGGACCTGGTCAGGCCACAGGGTAGAGCTGGGTGACCACGAGGTCAAGTGCACATGACCAGGTTCAGGCCAGTGTGCCCGAGATAGCAAGGCACCCTTAAGCCAGACTGCAGACTCAAAGCCTCTCCCTGGCTCCACAGTCCTGGGGGGCGGGGGAGGGGGAGCCCCAAAGGGTCAGCGGACCCGCCCAAGGTCAGCCAGGAGCAGCCTCGTGGGCCCAGGGCTGCCGCCAGCCAGCACAGTTCCTGCAGGTTGCTGAATCTCCTGCAGAGAAGAAGGAAGCGACCCTGGGAAACTTCCAAGGAGGGGGCGAGGGGGACACAGAGACCCCCGGGCACGCTAGGCATGACTGCCCTCACCCAGCTCCCCGCAAGGGTGCAGCCGTGTCCCTCAGAATCAGCCAGCTCTCTGCAAGGTCCCCAGCGATGTAGGTTACAGCCACCTCGCCCTCACTCCTGAGTTCATTAAAAATGAAACAGATGCATCTTCCTCCTCATCTCTCCCCTTGCACTGCCGGCTCCGTCCTCCCGGGCCGGTCATCAGCATTGATCGTGAAGGAGAGGAGTCGGCTCGGGGTGCCCCCTCTCACGCCCCTCTGGGGCAGGGTGAGCAGACATAGACATACAGACAGCCGCCTGTCGGCTGTGGAGGCCCTGGCGGGTGTGGGGCCAGAACAGCCCCCGCTGGAGGCACAAACCTGCCTCCAGCCCAGCCAGCAGGGAAGCCACCCCAGCAGCCCGACCTCTGAATCCCTCTCTCCCTGTTTGTCGCTGTGGAGTTCCCCGGGACCCCTACCCAGGTTCCTGGATCAAGAATCTTCTGGGCCACTCCTGAGAAGTAACCCAAGCATCACACTCAAACCCAGGGGCAAAGGCGGCGGGAGGTCCCTGAGGACAAGCAAAGGCACTGTGGCCGAACCCCGCTGCTGAGTCTCAAATGTCCCCCACCAGGACCCTTCCCACACAGATCAGGGGCGCTCATGCAGCCCCCAGCTCCCCTTGCAGACCTCCCGCCCTGGAAGCCCTGGGACCCCAGCCAGCAGAGCTCAAGGGCTATATCTCTCAAGGGGTCTCTCCGGAGTACTTAGATACAATCTTTAAATGGAAAACAAAATTGATGGGGGAGGTTTCCAGGAAGGAAGAGTGGGGGGAAATGACTTTCCAACAAAACACTGTTGCTGGCTCGCTGTTCACCCACCTGAGTTCTGGGGCTGGGTCAAACCAGAAACGTCACATCACCGAAATCTAGAGCCCAAACAAGCAAACAACCTCAAACCTCCCAAGCCTCATCCCCCCGCGCCAGCGGACCGTGGCTGCATTTCCAAAAGGCCCAGGACCGTCTGGCCTCCACAGTACCCGAGAGTTTCTTTACCGGACAACGAGCCTCTCCTGGGTTCCCCCAGATCAGCGTGAATGAGGAACCGGGCAGAAACGGGCAGCCGGGACAGGGGCTGCCCCACGCCTCCTCCTCGGGAGGGCAAATGGCATCACCAGGAGGGGCTGCCTCGCCCGGCCTCCGGTGCGAGCTGGACGCCAGCAGCCGCGGGAGAAGGGCAGGGGGCCTGGCCCGGTTCTGGGGGCGCACCCCGAGCCTTACATAAGGAGCCTGCGGCCGGGATGCTACAGTAACCTGTTTGGAATCCTCGGCGCAGTTGGCAGGGCTGAGCATGCGCACAAGCAGGCACCGTTTTTTTTTTCTCCTCCGGCTCCAGGCAAGAGGTAACTGTCGGTCAAACCCCGCTGCACCCTGCCGGCTCCCAGCGCAGGATGCTAAAAATGAGATCCCGGCCGGGGGGGCGCGCGCGGGCTCGCGGCCGTGGGAAGCGGGGAGCGGGCTAGTAAACACACCGACAGGTGACGCGCGCGGCGCTGCTGGGCCGGGCCGGGCCCGCGCGAACCGAACCGGGGCCCGAACCCGAGGCCAGCGGTCCGCTCCGTCCCTCGCCGGCCCCGAGCGCCCCCGCCCCGGCCCAGCAGCCCGCCCGCCCGCGCGGGGAGCATCCTTCTCCCGCCGGCGCGGCGCGGGGACGGGACCCCCCGGGCGGCTCCCGGGCGCGCAGGACGCTCCCACTCACCATGGCGGTGCCGACCGAGAAAGCGGCCATCAGACAGGCCATGCCCCGGGGGCGGCGGCGGCGGCGGCGAGGACGAGGCTGCGGGCGGCAGGGACGGGCGCGGGGACGGCGCGGGCACGAGGCTGCGCTCGCTCCGGGCTCGGCGGCTGAGCTCAGCGCGGTCCCCGGGAGCCGCGCAGGCCCCGCCCCGGCCCCGCCCAGGCCCCCGCCCCGCGGCCCAGGCCCCGCCCCCGCCCGCGCCTCGACCCGCCAGGCCCCGCCCAGCCCAGCGCCTCGGCCCGCCCGGCCCCGCCCACCTCCTCCCAGCCTGAATACCCCGACCCCGCCCACTTCCCTCACATCCGTCCTGCTATTGGTCGGCGTGCGGTCGGGGCGGGGCCGGCAGGTGCTCGTGTTCTTGTTTTGCTGGTTTCCAGTCCTGGGTGCAGCTAAGTCCTGCTCGCTGTCCTCACCGCTGCACCAGTCCCGGAAGGCCCTGGGTTCGGACACTCGCTAGACCTGAACCAGCACGGGCCTGGGCGACCCACGGGAGTTCCTCTGGGACAGCGGGGGCCCTCTCCCCACACACCCGACCAGGAGCCAGCCCCGCACGCGTGTTTGTGTCACAGTGCTAAAGGGGTCAGTGCTAACAGGAAGCGAGATGGAGGGACAGCAGCCTCTCCTCTCCCCCACCCCCCCCCCGCCCCTCACCCCCGCGCCTCTCTGCCAGGTGGGAGAGCCAGACTAGAGAGGGGTCTCCAGTCCTCCAGCCCAGCAAGGTACACACTCAGACAGACACTACTACAGGGCGTGAGAGAGTACTAAGTGCTGGATACTAAAGGGGTACCTGGCGGAGACCCCACAGCCTTTGTCCACCCTGCCCCACCCCAACAAAGGAAGACAGGAGAAGGTTTGGGAGGCCCTGTAACCGCAAGAGGAGCAACACCCGCTTTGGGCCCCGATTGGAGTATCAGGTGACCGGCATCCTCTCAGACCCTTCTCATACACCGTGGGGCCAGGTCCCAGGGCCACGGCGATCGGGCATTCTTTGCCTGTTCTCTGAGGCCAGAGCTTTTGTTCAGTGGTTCACATGTTGGGGCCACATCAAGGAATGTGTTTCTTTTCACCGCGGGCACACCTGAGTCACCTCCACAGGATCCTGAGGGTAAGTGAAGTCTCCGCCTCTCCCTCACCTGGCAGGGAGGCCCTGTTTCCCTGCCAAACAGGTAATTAGACCCACAGACCTGCAGGGACAGCCAAGGTCTCCCCCCAGATCAGAAGAGGAGAGGAGCACCATGTTCAGGGGACAGCCTCTTGGAAGCATCTGGCCTCGGGTCAAATACTCGCCTCCCCTGACCATGTGTGGGACCCCCAGCGTTGCGTTTTCAGGGCCCAGGCTCTGTGCTATGGGTCTGGGGACACTCTTTGGGCCCCGAGGTTCCGGAAAGAGGATTCCAGATGCACAAATAGCCCAGGGGAGAGTTGAGGTTGAAAGACAGAGACAGGCAGACAGACAGACAGAGATAGAGAGACCTCACGTCTGCAGCTGGGCTCAATAGCCTGGGCAGGGAGGACAGTGGGCTGGCAAGGGAGGCCAGCACTCTGCAGGGGGTCCTGCCCCCAGGGGCCTATGATGTGGTCTGGAGGTGGCCCTGGACATGGACTCCACCTCTACCCTCCTCTTGCTCGGGAACACACAGGCCCCTGCCCTCAGCTCTCTGCCAGAGCATCCAGACTAGGCAGGTGGTCAAGTCCTCAAAGGACAGGCAGTACTTGCTGGGCTCCCGCGAGTGACCAGGGTCAGTGCCTGGAGCTGAGGACCCATTTGGGGAGACAGGTGAGGCGAGTCCTGGGCGGGGGGATCCCTAGGTGCCTCCTATGGAAAATAATGTGAGTCAAGGACTCCTGACCCTGCCCCCCAGCCTAGCCACCACTTCCCTCCTGTCCCGAGGAGGGCCAGTGGGCACCGTCAGCCCTGAGGATGCTCAGGGGCCACGCTTCCGCCTGGCCAGCTTGAGGCCGGGAGTCTGACCCTGCCTCAGGCGCAAATCAGCTGCTGTCTGGTCCGCAGGTGCCACAGGGAATTTTCCGGCAACTCAGCGGCCAGGCATGCGTGAACACAGGGGAAGGGGGGAGGGTCCCTCGAAAAAGTACTCCTTCCCCCAGACTGTGTACTAGTACTGAGAGGGTCCCTGGCGGAACCGCCCAGGCTGTGGAACACCGGCGTATGCAGAGGGGACGAGACAGGTTCTTAGCACAGCCAGCAGGCCCATAGAGCAGACGCAGCCCAGCTTGCACAAGGCTAGCGGTCCGGTCCCGGAGATGAGGAAGGTCCGGGGTTCCAGAGTCAGACCCCCAGGCCAGGGCTGGCCCTGTGTCCCGGCTCTCGCGCCCTCTGGGCTCGGCCACCCATCTGCCGCCTTCGCTCTGGGCCAGGCCAACTGCTCACGGCCGCATGGCAGATCCGGGCCTGCATGCTAGCGGCTGGCCGCCGGCCACTGGCCAGGGCAGTGCCAAACACCAGCTGGCCTGGCTGGGTCACATGGGCCTCGGTGGAACATGACGACAGATTGGGACACTGCCAAGGCCGCGCTGGGGTGCTCTGAGCCGGTGAGACCCAGGCTGGGCCTTCTGGGGGAGGCCCTTGCAGGGTCACTGGGCGCCCCTCCTGTTTCTTCTCTCCCATTTCCTCTCATTCCTTCTTTCCCTCTTTCCTTCCTTCTTTCTTTCTCCCCAGCACGGGATCGAGTCCAGGGCCACACACAGCGGCGTCAGCTCTGCCCGCCTGGTGGGAGGTTGACCCAGACTAGGGGAAGGCCACAGCCCCACGCCTCCGTGTCCGTGCCACACGGGCCCCCTCCCTCATGAGTCTGGACCTCCCAAGACCCCATTTCCTCCGGGCCTGAGCTTCTTGGGGCCAGAACCCCCAGTCCTGCCCTGTTGGGGCCGAGGAAGAGAAACCTGAAGAGCTTCATGCTGGCCCTTCCTCAAAGCTGCCAGCAAATGGCCCAGACAGTCCGCTGGAGGGCTGCCTTGCGTTGGTTAGTTGGGGCCACACCCAGCGGTGCCCAGGGTCACTCCTGGTGGGCTGGGGGACCATCTAGGCTGCCAGGGATGGAGCTATGGTCAGCCACGAGCGAGGCCAGCACCCTCGCTGCTGTGCCGTAACTCCAGCTGCCGTTCCTGAAACTGTGAACATCCCCCCCCCACCCCAGGCTCCCTCCTGACTCTCCCTCCCGCCACCCCCGAAGTGCGGTGGTGACTGAGGTCTCCACCTATAGCTCTCAGCCTCACCTCGAGGGCGACCCCCAGGCACAGCCATCAGCCACGGGTGCTCTGTGGGTGTCTCGGAGCCCCCAGCCCCACGACAAACCCCCGTGCAGCTCCAAAGTGTCTGCGTGCCAGCCTGGCCCTCAGCAGCACCTGGCCAGGGTGGGCTTAGGAGCACCAGAAGCTGTGTGTGCTTCCTCTTTGGAAAATGCCAAACATTCCAGATCTCCCCTAAAGGTTCATGGGGCACAAGGGGCCTCGCACCCCGCCCAGTGCGGCCACTCCAGGCTCCTGAGGGAGCTATCCAGATGGGCTGTCCTCCTCCCCCCAGGGCCCCAGTGCTCCCAGCCCAGACACAGACCCCGGCCAGGGCTCTCCACCCCCATCCCTGCACTTCCTGTTCCCTGTCCCTGCCCCCAGGGAGGCCTGGGCAGCCCCCACATGGGTCCCAGTTCTGAAAGCAGAAGTTCAGTCAGGGAGGTTCACTTCTGAGTGTCTGGAAACTTCTGAAACTTCGAAATACAAAGACCCCAGGGCCAGAGAGAGCACAGCGGGGAGGGCACTGGCCTGGCACGAGGCCGACCCAAGTTTGATTCCTGGCACCCCACCTGGTCCCCGAGCACCACCAGGAGCCATCCCTGAGCACCGTTGGGTGTGGACCCAAACAACAAAAACAAAAGAGAGAGAGAGAGAGAGAGCCCGAAAGGAGCAGGAAATTCTCAGAGACCCTGCTCAGGCCTCTCCACCCCTGCCCCCAGCTTCCAGGCCAGAGGTCGCCCTGTTTCAGATGTGGGGTGACAGCAGCGAGCAGCCCGTGGGATGAGTGCCTAGCAGGCACGTGGCAGGGCAGAAGGGACGCCCTTTACTCACCCTCGAAGCAGAAGTAAAAGACACGGAAACAAGCCAATGTGGGGTGGGGGCCCAGCGGGCACAGGGGAGATTCAGGGGCACAAGCCTGCGCCAGGAGCTCCCGCCTCAGCCACCCCGAGCCTCGGAGGCCCCAGACACCTGGAAATGCACAGGGGCAGAGACCCTACCCGGACACTGTGCTCTGCTGACCGGGAAGGGTCAGGTGCCACAGGGGTGCCACGGGGATGCCACGAGGGTACCACGGGGGGTGCCAGGGGCTGTGGACCGACCCCCGATGCTCACCACCCCTTCCCTCCCCACACCTCCCAACAGCTGGGGGCCGCACTGGCAGCCAAGATCCAGGGAGCCCCAGAGAGACCAGCCGTGGGCCAGAAGGAGCAAGTCCATGGAAACGAAGTTAGAGTGGGCCAGAGTGCAGGCTCAGAACCATCCTCAGAACCTCCTCCTCCCCTGGGCTCCCTCAGTCGTGGGTAGACCCGCCCCCCACTGTGGCATCTGTGGGATGGTGGGGGAGGGAAGGGGAGCCTGTTCCAGGTTCTGGAGCAGCTATAACTGCTTCCCAGCAGGACAACTCAGCACATACCCAGCCTGGGCTTCCTGAAAGCCAGCAGGAAGGAAGCCGGTTCCCAGCCACGGGGGGCTCGGCTCCAGGACCACGTGGTTTCCTGGGCATTGCTGGGACAGACTCTGAGCACCAAATACCAGCAAGTACCTGAGAGTCCAAGTACCACCGAGTGGCCCCCAGACAAGAAAAAATAAACATGCATTCTCTCTCTCTCTCTCTCTCTCTCTCTCTCTCTCTCTCTCTCTCTCACACACACACACACACACACATATAACACACACTCATAGACTTGTATGTGTATAGACACGCTCACACATGCGCACACATACACACACACCCAGACTTGTACATAGACACGTTCTTATATGCACACACATGCACGTACACTCAGACTTGTACTTACATACACAGCTCACACAAGCACACACACTCACATACACAGCTCACACATGCGCACACACGCACACACACATACACACATACA